TGAATCTCTTTCAATCTTTCCTCTACTTCTTTAATCAAGATAAAAAAATGCTTTACGTATTCACGTTAAGCAAACGCATCACTCCATTAAGCAACTGCATCACTCTTCATTTGTAGTAAATCACGTGCTTCGAGGGGATTTTCATCACGAATTTGTGATAACGATGATTGTTCATTTTCAACTTTTTTCAATATGTCAGTTAATTTCTTTGATTTTGGTTGATCTTTTTTATTCTTCTTTACAGTTTTATCACCAAAATCAAATTTACCAAATGCCAATGTAGATAACTGAGGAATATTGGAAGATGTGTGTGAATTGCCTTGGTGTTGCGTAGAATCTATAACACAAAGACAAAATGCATAATAATTAACAAATAAAACTGGCTTTTTTTCACCAAAACATCGACTATCAAACCTATAAAGAAGTTTTCTGTAACAATTTTTACCTGAGGTGGAACTTGGTTCCCATATGTTCGTAGTCTTTGAAGTTGCAGATGTTGAGGCCTTTTGCTTCTTAGTTTTTTTCTTAATTTTTCTGCTTTTTCCGAACGTTTTCGTTTTGTGCTCTTTCCATCACCTACAAAAAATTCTTTAAAGATAAAGTTTTTCAATTTTATTAGAACATACACTAACCTGATTTCGATGAGTCATTTTTGAATGAAGTTTTTCTAACAGTTCATCGTGACTCATTGCTGTTGTGTTTGTCTTTGATGTTCGTTGGCCAGTTGGTTTTTGGGTTTCTAAAGCAAAAGGTGCACATCCGAAATATAAAAAGGGCAAATCAGGAATGATCCGACAACTAAGTTAGGGCACAACTATAATATATATTTTGAACTTTGAAACTTTTAATTATTTTCAATACAACCCGACAATGAATTTGAAACGGTATGATCTGCATAAGTTGAGAAGAAGAATTCCGATTAGCTATCTCCTTAGACTTACTTGTATTATGACATGCTAAAAATCGATAAATAGCCGATGTTGTTCTGACTGATTGTATTTCAGCTAATTCAAGTTCACCTCGCTTCGTTTGCTTCGGGTTTTTTCGTTTTTGAGATTATGATTGTTGAAGATATTTTTGTTTTATACCAACCCACTGTTCTAGTTCGTCTTGAGCAATATACGTTTCTGGACGAATGAAATCAACTAATGATAACAGAGTAGTATTTAAATTCATGAAATGTTCAATCTTTGGCTGTCGATTTTGTTTTGCTTCGTCGTTCTCATCTTCTTTTTCGTCAAATTTAACATGAACCATTCTTAGTTTATCTAAAATATAGAAATACTTTGATGATAATTCTGTAGTTACTTTTAGTAAAGAACTCGTGATTTGAAGTGTAACTCAAACTGAGTGTTATTACATATGTAAAAATCTTTTTCTCTTTACAGAAAACACATCATAGTACATATATAGAAATCAATCGAGCATTGAATGGAAAATTGTAGTGCCTATAGAAATGTTTGTCGTATACGCCGCTCACTCTTTGTTTATTGACTGTTTGCCCTCTCTCCCTTCCCAACGGATAAGGCCGGAATCGCTATAAAAAAAATTAGCAAAGTATGATTCACACACATCTTTATTCCCTTGACTTTAGTCTACGGTCTTACTAAATGGTTGTCTGGCTGTGCGCAAAATTCGAAAAAATGGCTGTTAGATATTCCATGGATAAGCCAATCACAAGTGAGAAAAACAGAAAACTGTTTTTTAATCACGAGCGACAATATATTCAAAGAGATGGCTGAAATATCTATTGATGCAGAGAGGAAAAGAGCTAAGTAAAGTTTTTCTAGAACGTTTTTTAAATATTCAGAAGTCTACCGGTAAAAAGACAGCCCTTTGATCACGAGCTACGCGATGTCAATACCCACATCTGCTGAATGACGAATTATAGTCATGTTTTCCCTTAAACATAATTTGTTAAAACTTCCAGAATATCTTTCACTAGCACGTTCAGCCATTTCAGCTCGAAAAAATGGTTAAAAATATTCATTTTCACTCGCAAATAGCTGCAAAAATATGTTTGTGTTGAAATTCATTAAAACAACACAAAAATGATGAAGAAGATTTTCGAAAAGCCAGAATTCCTTGCTGTGTTTGCAGATATAAGTTCCTCAAGTCAAGGGACCGAGCGAGTGCAGACGAACCCCTAGTCGAGACTCCCGGCAAAACTCCCAAGGGACTCCTGTCATGGGGTCCTGCGGGAGTCAGGTGGGACTTCCAAGGGATTTCTCAGACCTCCTCCGGGACTTTGAGGATTCTGAGGACTTTCGTTGCACTCCCGTTACCTTGTTTAACAGCGACATCTGAGAAAGACAGTGATTTCTCAGCATTTGTGACGTATTGATAATCGATATTTGACAAATCAGAGTTTACTTTCTGTTGTTTTTTTCAAAATCCGGCGATCTTCGTCGTATCGTGGAAAACTAAAAGAAAAGATTTTTGAACGGAAAGCTTTTTGTATACGAACTTAAAATAGTGAATAAAGACTATCGAATTTGTTATCATTGAACGCAACCTTTGTCAGACTTGTACTACGTCTCATTTTGTTGAACTCTGATTGCTTTATAATTTTGACTTCTACAATAGTCTGATACAACTCTTTACAGAGTCTCAACCTTATTCCATTTTGTTGGAACCATTTCTACCTTCTTTATATGAAATTTCACTATTCATTTTTCCTCTTATTATTGAACTTTGTCTGAAAAAACCTTTATTAGGTTTTTACACTT